GCCATCTCTCTAGCCCATGAACTCTTTATCTTCCTGCCTCCATCTACCAGTGCTAGGATTACAGCCATGCACCACCATCAACTGGAATATTCTCTGGTCCTTCCCATCTTAAGCAGAGTAAGGGGACTGGCCTTCTCAAGGATGCATGCCCACCTTTGGTGGTCAGTGCACACCAAACTGTGTCCTCAAGCCAAAGGCACAAAGGGAACACCTGGAAATATTACCCTACCCACTCTGAAAACCCTTGAGGCTGGACTAGTTCCCTTAGATTATGTTTTGCTCATGGCAGTCCTCCTGCCTCGGCCTTCTGAATTTAGATTATTGACACGAGCCACCACACCTGTCTCAACATGTTCCTTTAAATATGGTCTAGAAAGCCTGGTGTAGTGGTTCAGGCCTGTAATCTAGGCACTTAGGAGGCTGATGCAGGAGGATTGCTCTGAGTTTGAGTTTGAGGCCAGCCTGGGCTGCATAGCAAGATCCTGTTTCAAAAAAAAAAAAAAAGAGCCTTGTTTCTTATCAGGGGGTGGGATTCAGAGGTGTAGCTCAGCCGTCTAGGACTTACCTAGCATGCTCAAGGCCCTGGGTTCCATCTCCAGCACCAAAAAAGGGAAGAAAAATCACATTCCAGTTGGGGATATAGTTCAGTTGATAGAGTGCTTGCCTAGCATACATGAAATCCTGGCTTCCAGCCCCAGCACCACATAAACCAGTACGAGCTTATATACCCAGCATTTGGGAGGTAGAGGCAGGAATATCAAAAGTTCAAGGTTATTGTCAGCTACATAGTGAGTTCAAGGCCATCCTGGGCTCCATGAGAAAAAAGATTCTCACACTGGGTTCCTGGAGACCTTATTTCTATAAGCCTGAGATGAACCCACAAGCTTTGCTTCCCAATGTAGTCCTCTGGTTACCGTGATTGAGCATGCCACTTCCCACAACTGGCCATCCACCCATGCCTTGTACCTTGCCCTGCAGTCATGTTCTGGGACCTAATTTCTCTTCCTCCCCACCCCACCCCCATCTCCATGCCCCTGTTTGGAATCTTTCCTTAGGCAACCACCCCATCTTCACTCCCTGTCTGAGTTCCCATGACCATTGCATGTGGTCACTTTCTGCCTAAACCATCTTAGCCCCTTGATCCAGCTTCCAGCTCCTGGCTTTTCACAACCTCAGCTACCTTGACAATGGCAGGGAAAATGGTGGCGCACACCTGTCCTCCAAGCACTTGGGAGGCTGAGGCAGGGAGATCATGAGTTCCAGGCTGCCTGAGCTGTATAACTAGACCTTGTCTCAAAAACAGGGGAGTAGGATGCTGGTGAGATAGATGGCTGGTGAAAGTGCAAGTGTGAGGACCTAAGTTGAGATCCCTTGTAAAAACTGAACATGGTAATGCACATGAGTGGGGCAGAGACAGACAGATCCTTAGAGTTCACTGGGCTCATTGGCCAACTAGTTTAGCCCTACTGGTGAGCTCCACATTTGTTCCATGAAGAGACTGTCTTTAAAAAAAAAAAAAGAGGTTGGGTCTGGAGCGATGGCTCAGTGGTTAAGAACACTGGTTGTTCTTGCAGAAGACCCAGTTCGAATTCCGGCACCCACGTGGCAGCTAACAACTGTCCATAACTCCAGTTCCAGGGGCTCCGACAGCCTCTTCTGTCCTCCACAGGCATTGCACGACACGAGTACACTTACCTACACACAGGCAATACACACGTACACATAAAATAAGATTTTTAAAAAGAGGTCAGTGAGGCTGGAGAGAGTGCTTACTGCTCTTGCAGAGGACTCAGGTTCAATTCCTAGTACTCACTTCTATTTCCCAGCACTCACATCCAGTTCCCAGCACCCATGTGGGGTGGCTCACAACCACCTGTAGCTCAGGTTTCAGGGATTTGACACTCTCTTCTGGCCTATGTGGAGGTATGAATGTGGTGTATGTTAATTCAGACAGGCACACACACATACACGTAAAGAAATCTTTTAAAATAAAAAAATAGCCAGGCATGGTGGTGCACGCCCTTAATCCCAGCACTTGGGAGGCAGAGGCAGGCGAATCTTTGTGAGTTCAAGGCCAGCCTGGTCTACATAGTGAGTTCCAGGACATCTGGGGCTACAAGGAGACCCGGTCTCAAAAAGACAAAATAAAAATAAATAAATAAATAAATAAAATGAGATGGCTCAGTTGCTGCTCAAACAGGAAGACTTGAGTTCAAATCCCCAGGCCCACATACAAAAAGTAAAATAAAGTGGAGAACAATAAGGAAAGATACCCAATATCCACCACTGGACTCCACACACATTCGCACAAAAATATACACACACACCCACAAACACATGTGCATACCCCCACAAACACGTACATATACCACATATGTACAAACATACAAGGAGACCTCAAAACAGGACAAGCCCTTCAGGCACTCTCTTTAGCTCACTTGGCTGTCACCAACCCTATTGGCTCCCCTCTTTCAGCCCAGCTTCTTTGTGGATAGCAAACCAAGAATTGCTGCCTGTTGCTCAGGAGCCATCTTCTTAGCTTGTAACATGGATCATTTAGCATTTCCTTTTTTCAAAATTATGTTTATGTGTGTGTGTGTGCACATGAGTATAGTGCCTGTGGAGGCCAGAAGAGGGCATCGGATCCCCTGGAGCTGGAGTTGCAGGTCCCTGTGAACTACTCAACAAGGGTGCTGGGAACTGAACTCCAGTTCTCTGCAAGAGCAACAAGTGGTCTTAACTGCTGAGCCATCTCTCTAGCCTGTTTAGCATTTCTTGCAGCTTTCTGCTCTTTGTTTCATCGTGGGCCTGACAGACACTGTCCCTTCAGGAGGCCCCAGGATGGACACAGAGGGCAGAGGGAGGCAGGCTATCTGGGGCCTCTATTCCTGCCCTGAACTTCCCATCCTCCCTTGCAGCTTGGAGAGGACTCTGACTATGATAAACTGAGTGATATGGTGAAGTACCTTGACCTGGAACTCCACTTCGGTACCCAGAAACCTACAAGTGAGTGACTTGATGGCTCTGGGGCATGTCTAGAAACCACACTGCCAGCTGCCTCCTGGGTATCCACTAGCTTTGAGTCCTCAGGGCATGCATTTACTGTTAATGTGGCTTCAAACTTTCAAGCCCTTCTGTATGAATTCCTTGACAATCCATACAAGGTAGATCCTGTAATCACTTTCACTTTCTAATGAAGCCCATCAGAGAGGCTAGGCAGTTTGCTCTAAGTCACAGTGCCAGGCTAGGATGAGCAGAAGATATCTACAAATGTTCCTCCAGTGTCTGTCCGTTCTGTCTGTGTCCCTGTCCCATCCGTGTCCGTGTATCTGTGTATCGTGTGTGTGTCGTGCCCCCCCCACCCCGGTCTTTCTTGGGGGTATTTCCCTGTAGTGATTGGGTGGGATTCCAAGCAGTCAGGGTAATTGTACGGAGCACACAAGGTCAAAACATGGTTGGTTTTCATTGCTCTGCTCAGTCTGAAGGTCACAGGAAAGAGAAGATATTTGAGGAGAGAGCCAGTGAGGGGTTGGACATAAGCCACATACTAAGTGCCTTAGGTTGAACCTGGGGGTTTATGAGTGAAAGGGTGAGGAATGGGGGAAGTCTGAATATCTGGAGCTGATCCAGTTAAGACGGTGAATGCCAGGAAGAGGGTCCTTGGTCACTGTGGCTGCATTGCTTCCTTGGCCCTGCTATAACAGCGTTAGTCTAGCCTCCGATGTGACCATTAAGCTGTGTAGTTTCCCTTCCAGAGCCAGTGCCTGGGCCAGAGCCCTTCAGGAAGAAGGAAGTGGTGGAGATCTTGTCCCACAAGAAAGCCTACAACACCTGTGAGAAGCCTGAGAACCCCAGAGATTCTAGAAGCCCCAGGGTCCAGCCCACTGGGCCACACAGGTTCAGACCAGTTAGGAGTTCGGATGATAGAAATTAGGGTGGGGTAGCCAGGATCCGTCACCCAGCTAATGAAGGCCTGCTCTCAGGATAACAGGAGCCCCTCTTGGTCTCAGATGCAGGCCTTGACACCCTCTATTGGCCCGGTCCTCTGTAATAGGTTCCTCAGGTCTGGCCCCGCCTCCAACCACATCCACTACTCCACCCCACCCAGACTCCGCCCTCCCTAGTGCCCTGCCTCACGCACAGGCCCCTCCCAGCATCCTGGTATAGTCTAGGAAGATTCTTCCACTGACCCTTCCGGCTCCAGGACCCTCTTAGTCTCCAGTTAGTTCCTGCCACGTCCCTTCCTCCCCTATAGCTCTTCTCTCAGGACCCTTCCCCACAGTCCCACACTAGGCTCCGCTCAATAGCCCTGCCCATTCTTCCCCGAGCCCCCCTCCCCCACCCCGCTCACTTTCGCGGCCGCTGCCCGCAGCCATCCTGCTGGCACACCTGAAGCTGACCCCTGGGGAGCTGCGGCAGGTACTGATGAGTATGGAGCCCCGGCGCCTGGAGCCTGCGCATCTGGCACAGCTGCTGCTCTTTGCGCCCGACGCTGAGGAGGAGCAGCGCTACCAGGCCTTCCGCGAGGCGCCTGGCCGCCTCAGTGAACCGGACCAGTTCGTCCTGCAGGTGCCAAAAGCCCCCCACACCACGGGCAAGGGAACCTCTTACCAGGATTCCCTTGGGTGCCTGCTGCTGGCCTCTGAGTCCCAATTTAACACCTTTAATGGCCAGTTCCCACCCAAGGTCAGGGTAGATGGGATGAGAGGGTCCCCCAGGGATCGTGCTAACTTTTCCTAAGGGGCACCCAGTCCAAGCAGCCAGCTGACTTCCCACCCAGGCTGTCGTGGGGCGAAAGGTCCTGTGCCAGTGGGGATGGATGAATCCTGGTCCCTACCTTTCCCATAGATGCTGTCAGTTCCTGAATACAAGACCCGCCTGCGCAGTCTCCACTTTCAGGCCACCTTACAGGAGAAGACAGAAGAGATCCGAGGCAGCCTTGAGTGCCTGCGACAGGCGTCCCTAGAACTCAAAAACAGCAGGAAACTCGCCAAGATCCTGGAGGTCGCGATCCACTTCTCCCCGGTTGTGTGATCCACTCCTCTGTCCCCAGCCGCTCCCAGCCTGGAGACCCATACCTGCACTTGAGGATAGGTCTGGGTAAGCCATGTGGAAATAATCACTCCTTTTCTCCCCACAGTTTGTGTTAGCCATGGGTAACTATCTCAACGATGGGCAGCCTAAGACCAACAAGACCACCGGCTTCAAGATCAACTTTCTGACAGAGGTAAGGAGCAGGCAGTAGACCGTCATTCTAGTTGCAAGACTCCGAGGTAAAACCTAAGTCAAGTTATACCAACAGAGCCAAGGGTAGTGCCACACATCTGTAATCCCAGAATTTGGGAGGTTGAGGGAGTTGGGATCAGGAGTTCCAGGCTGTCCTGTACAGCATGAGATCCTGCCTTATAAAACAAGACTGGCTTGGTGGCTCCCACCTTTAACCACAGCACTGAGAAGGCAGAGGCAGGTGGATCTCTTTTGTGTTCAAGGCCATCCTGGTCTACTTAGCAAGTTTCAGGTCAGCCAGGGTTACATAGTGAGACCCGGTTTCAAAAAAAAAAAAAAATCCTGCCAGTGAGGAAGAGAAACCATGTTGTTCAAAAAGCTCTTCCTACTGGGTGGGGGAGGAACTGGCTGTACAGGGTTGGGTTGGGAAAGATGTTTTCTCAGGTCCAGCTCCAGGATCTAGAAAAGTTAAGTGGGGAGGGGAGTTGGAAAGAAAGTATTAAAAACAGAATTCTGGGAATCTTTAAAAGCTGAGGTCATATAACCAGGAGTCTGGGGTGGGTCTTTGAGGAGCTTATGTGTTGGGTATCCCTTGCAGTTAAACTCCACTAAGACAGTGGATGGAAAATCTACCTTTCTGCACATCCTTGCCAAATCACTGAGCCAGCACTTCCCTGAGCTCCTGGGCTTTGCCCAGGACCTGCCTACTGTGCCCCTGGCTGCCAAAGGTAGGCTGGGTGTATGAGTGGGGGAGGCAGGTGCATGCTGTGCTGAGCTGGGGACTGCAGCCCCCATGAGACTTTGCTTGCCTTCCCCATGCAGTGAATCAACGAGCCCTGACTGGGGACCTGGCTGACCTCCATGGCACTGTCAGTGAGATTCAGGTAGCCTGCCAGAGCATGTCCCCCTCCAGTGAGGACAGGTTTGCTGTGGTCATGGCAGTATCCTCTAAGCAACCTTTGCCAGCACCAGGCTGGACCCTGGGATGGTAGGTAGAGCTGACTACAGCTCCTGTAATCAGTGCAGACCCTAACAGAGATTCCAAGCACAAGTGACTGTGTGCCCAGGGCTCCTGGAAGATGTTATTTAGAATCTGAGTGTTTATGCCAAATGTGAGTGACTGAAGATGGAATGGTTTTCGCTATGTGTAACACTAGAGATTGAACCCAGAGCCTTAGGCATGCTAGGCAGATCTCTAGCCTCTCACTGGAGGAGTCTAGGCAAGTATGCTACCTCCAAGCCACGCCCCCAGCTCTTCTCTGGTAGATTTTAGAAAAAGAACTCTACCACTAAGCCACACCCCCAGCTGTTCATTGGGGAATTCTAAACTGGCTCTCCCCCAGCCCCTCACTGGAGAATTCTAGGCAAGCATCTACTGCTGAGCAATATCCTAGCCCCTCACTGGGCAAATTCTAGCAGGTGCTCTACCACTGAGCAAGGCCTCTAGTCCCTCACTTGGGGATTCTAGGCTGGTTCTCCAGTGCTTAGCTATAATTAAAAAAAAGGGTCTCACTCTGTAGGCCTGGCTAGGATGCAACAACTATGTAGACCAGGCTAGCTTCAAACTTACAAAGATGCACCTGTCTCTGCCTCCTGGGTGCTAGGATTAAAAACATGTTCTACTACATCTGGTTTCCGTAGAATTTTTCCAAATATGTATTTATTTATTCATTTTCATACTGGAGACTGAACTCAAGCCACTGACAGGCTAAGGAAGCACTACATTTCAGCCTTTTGTTTAACTTTAAAAAGTAATTTTGAAACAGGTCTTTCTAGACTGGCCTCAAACTCACTCTGTTGCTCAAGCAGGCCATGAATTTACAATGTTCCTGCCTCAGCCACCCTGTGATTACAGGCTTCTGTCCCCAGGCCTGCCCAGACTGTCCTAAAATCATTGCCTTGTCCTATATGTCCCCAAAGAGGGTAGAGCCCAGATTTAAATGACAAGATATGGGGGAAGGACCTGTTAGGCCCTATAAGCCAAAGGCAATCAGAAGAATGACTTCAGTCATAGGCCCTACTGTGGGGTAAAAGTCTAGGTAGCAACTTTTTTTTGCCAGGGCGGGGGGGAGTGATAGTGGCTAACCTGTAGCCCAGGATAGTCTTGAATTTACTGTGTAGCCAAAGATGACCTTGAATTCCTGGTCCTCCTGAGTACTGGGATTACAGGTATATGCCTTGAAACCTGGCTTAGGATTTTTTTTTCTTGTGGTGCTAGATATCAGACCCTGGGACTTACACACATGCTTGACTGGGCTACATCCTCATCCAAGGCAGGCATTAAATATTAGACTCCACCCCACAGTAATGTCACAGAGCATTACTAAACAAATATAATAGTTATGTAACATGCCTCTTACCCCATCCCCTTTCACACACATAATTGAGCCACTGTGTGTGTGTGTCTGTGTGTATGTGTGTCTATGTGTGTAATTGAACCCGAGGCCTCCTGCATGCTAGACAAGTGCTCTCCCACTAGCTCTATATACATCCAGTCAGGGCTGCTCATTCTTTTTTCCAGAACTTACTATGTGCCAGATACTGTCTTTTTAAAAATTTTTTATTTATTGCTGGGCGTGGTGGTGCACGCCTTTAATCCCAGCACTCAGGAGGCAGAGGCAGGCGAATCTCTGAGTTCAAGGCCAGCCTGGTCTACATAGTGAGTTCCAGGACAGCTGGGGCTACAGGGAGACCCTGTCTCAAAAAGGCCAAAAAAAGTTTATTTATCATTTTCATTGCCTGCACATGTATAAGTGCATTTGTGTCCTGCAATGCCTGGAGAGGTCAGAAGAGGGCATTGGATTCCCCTGGAACTGGAGTTACAGATGGTTGTTAGCCACTGTGTGGGTGCTAGGAATCAAACCTGGGTCCTCTACAAGAGCAGCCAGTGCTCTTAACTGCTGAACCAAGATACTGGGCTCTCCAGCCCCCAGATACTGTCTTAAATAGTGAAGGTCCATAGCAGGAACAAGTTTGCATTTGGAGAACAGAAAACTGAACATTATGAACCATTTTAGATAATAGCAAATGCTATAGAAAAAAATATAGTGAAATAAGGAAAAGAACAAAACAAATAAAACAAGAGGAAGGAAGGAGAGAAGGAGGGAAAGAGGGAGGGAGAGAGGAAAGGAGGGAGGGAAGGAGGGAGAAAAGAAAAGGAAAAAGAACAAGAAAAGGCCTGGCACAGTGTTGTACACTTGTACTTGGTTAAGGCTGTTCCCTTAACTTGGGCTCTGCAGCACTTGGGAGGTAGAAGCAGAAGGATCAGGAGTTCAGGGTCAGCCTCTGCTACTTTGCTGGTTCCAGGTCAGCCTGGGCTACAGGAGACCCTGTCTCAAATAAACAGTCAAGCTGAGAAGGGAAGCACGAGTAGGCGGTCTGAGAAGGGCGGCAGACCCAGGTATGGTGACTCAGATCTGTAATCCCAGCACTCAGAATGCTGAGGTAGGAGGATCTCGAGTTCAAGACCATCCTGGGCTACATAGTGAGACCCTGTCCAAAAAAAAAAAAGCCCCTGAGTAGAATCCCCCCCCTTGAGAAGAGAGCAAGGTGGATAGTCTGGGGCCTCATGGGACAGAAGCAGGTTCTTCAGGAACTATGGGGCTGGTGGTGGGCCTGGAACCCATGAACAGGGGCGCAGGTGCCTACAAAGGAAGATTCCATAAGAGCAAGAGGGTAGGAGAGCACCCACTGGCTGTTTTCCTTTAACTGAGACCCTACAGTCCTTTTTGGAGACAGCCCAGCCAGCTCTGCGGGCGCTGGACGGGCTGCAGCACGAGGCCATGGAAGAGCTAAGCAAGGCTCTGGCCTTCTTCGGGGAAGATTCCAAGGCCACCACCTCAGAGGCTTTCTTTGGCATCTTCTCAGAGTTCATGAGCAAGTTTGAGGTGAGCCGTAGTGGAAGTCGGAGGGGTTTCTGCAGGGAAGTGGGGTGAATGGTCACATGAGAGCATCCTCCTGCAGTCCCACTGGGAAAGGGCCCCAGTGAGTACCATGCCCCTTGTCTCTGGTGCGGCACTGGTCATCTGGGTGCAAGGCAGTGGCAGGAAAGGTGTCAGCACTTTCAGGGACCACTGACCACTCCTCTTTTTGTTCCCCTACTTCCAGAGAGCGCTCAGCGACCTGCAGGCCGGGGATGGCCCTCGCAGCTCCGGGATGGTCTCACCCCTGGCCTGGTGACAGTGGCCACCATGCATCCTCTGCAGCCTGAGCCTGGAGACTAATGCTGGAGGCTGCACCCTAGAGGGTGGCCAGGATGCTGCTGGGTTCTGGAGTACTCAGTATGTATGCAGCCTTGCTGCACCAGGAAAAGGCCTGAGTGTGGCCCATCCGCGAGTCTCCAGCTACCTCAGCCACCAAGCTCCACTGAGCCCTCTTCCGTGCATCCTCTTTAGTGCCCCCAGACAGCCTACCCAGCTTTCTTGTGGTCATTCCCTGATTTCGAAGTGGCTGCTGCCCCTAAGCTTGACCAGAGCACACCACCAAGGATGTTCACCAAGTTCCTTTCTGAGCCTGCTAGAGTGGGCTCCAGGTCAGAAGTAGATACCTGGGGACAAACTTACTAAGCCAGCACCAGAAAGTCTGTGGGATCCTGGCCCTGGATGTCCAGAGCTGCTGGAGGAAAGTGGACAGGCAGGAAAAAGATGGGGGGGTCTTAGTTGGCTGTGTGACAATTTGGGGACAGGAGAGACACCAGATTGGGGCATAGAGAAGGGGGAAAAGAGCCACTGTATCAGACTGCTGAACTGACATTTTATTTTCTTTGATGGTTTTACTTTATTTTTTTGGAAAGACAGGGACTCATGTAGCCCAGGCTAGGCTCAAATTCACTATGTAGTTAAGGATGACCTTG